AATCGAATGAGACAATCGTCTGAGCATGTTTCGCGTATGACAAACTGATTAATCTTGATAAAAGGATTGAATATCAGGACACACTGGGTTCTATAGCCTTGGTTGGCAACCGGTCTACTGCAGAAAGAAACGGCAACCTCCTGCGTGAAAATCTTCTTCCTTGTCGATCATGAATCGAAAGAGAGATAATCGCCGAAGCGTGTATCACGTACGGCACTTGACTGACTGACAATAAAATGATCTGTTGGATTAGCAAGCTTATCGCTACTCCACGGTGTTGACTTGATATTCAAGGATGAAACTTATTTGAATAGTAATGGGTTGTCACTCTTCTAACTACGACTCGATTTTGACATTCACGGGGCATTTTGAAAGCAAGAGGGACAGAGGAAAGCAATGAGAAATTCTAGTAGCTTCCCCGATTACTCTTATAAAATCGTAGAAGCACTTTATACAATACAAGTAATGATTTAAGACCAAGAATATTAAAATTAGCGCCGTTTTCTTGAACGTGTTTACGGCTTTTATTAAACGTTCAAATCACATTTGACTGATTAGTGGTATATATTCTTAATATCCGGCCTGGAAGACATTAAAACACGATGCATTTCCTTACACTATTTCATTTAGCCTTTAAAGGCTAACCCCACTACCATCACTTGTTGGTGGTGCCTCTTTCAAAGGAGGGTGGGCTGCAAGTAATTTCGTTTCTTGGTTCATGAGAGACCGAATTCATAAATACAATTTACAGCTCGCCAAACTACCGATGTTGACCTATGGTTGGTAATAACTTAAATTTATTCCTGACATCATGAAAATGATAGAACGGTCGGAGTACTGATCTCATAAGTCACGGGGAGAAGTTCAATTCTCGTTGAATGTTTTTGAACCCCATTTTCTATGGTCTGAATCTATGAGTGATGCTTGGCCGTCCCCAGTGATTGCCGCTGCTCTACTGCAACAAAAACGTAAAGCATCTTGCATTGATTCTGCTCCATTTACCAGTGTAATTTTAACATTTGTAAGGAAAGCTTTTACAAATACTTAAAAAAAAATGACGCTTCAGAAGAAAAGGCTTATGAACCATTGCACTAAGATATAGTAACTGTCGTAGCTATCAAGGTTGACACTGAGTGTAACAGCTTCAGGCTGGTTAGGTAATTAAGTTAAAGAGTGGTTTGCTTAAACTTTGATCTTATACAGAGGGCACAGATACTACCTTTATCTGAGGAAGACTTGTTAATAAATATGTAAACAATCACTTAATTCCTTGCGTATACAAGGAAATTTATATTTTGAGCCGCTATCCACACACATATATATATATTATATATATATATATATATATATATATATATATATATATATATATATATATATATATATGAAAAACAAACAAATATGGATATAGATTCATTAGTATGAAGAAAAATATAATAAAAAACGTCGTTATATACAATTATGCTGTTTTAATGTTAATATGTCAACGTCGGACGTTTCGGTCTAATAAACCAGCATAATTGTATATAAGGATTTTTGTTTGTTTTTTCCGTATATATTTTTCTTCATATATGGATAGAGGCACAAAATGAGAAATTGAAGTACATGGTTCGAATTCCATTTGGGTTTGTGACATTCATTTACATGCAAATAACCTTCGCGAAAAGTATAACTACAACTCTTCGTCTCCCTCTAACTATGGGTTAAACAGTAGGGGACAAACAAAACTCTTTCTGGTCCGGTGTACTCTGTAGAGTAGCAGTCTAAAACATACTGGATCAAAGGGTGCTTTTCCCCTAAAAACGGGAATTTTCATTAACTGACATGGTACTGGTAATAAGATTTTTATTCGAGTTTTCTTGTGTTCATATAAATGTTTTCTTTTTTGGACATAAAGCGAGTAAAAACTGTCGAAATTCGGCTAATCTGTTATTCATTATTAAGGATGAATTTTTAAAAAAAAATCATTCCCTTCGCTATATGTAATTTTTTTTATTTGCCAAACACGGTCAGCACGTCGTGGCAGTGTTTATAGTTAATATTATTGACTTTTGGATGTTTCTTTTTTATTATTAATTCTTCCATTATTTTTTTGCCCGTTTTTATATCTAGATGAGACTATTATATTCAGTTAGAGATTAAAAAGAACATTCTTGAAAATGGTTATTAGAAGGGCCGAAATCTGACAGGTTTCACACACTTTATGCCCAGAAAAGTAAACACTTGCACGAATGCAAGAGGAATTGAATAACAAGCTTAATCGCACTCTCTTGTTAGTCGTCTTTAATGAAACCTGTATAAAAGAGAGTTTGCTGCCCAAATATACAATTATATATCATTTATCATGGAGGCAAGTAAACGAAAATGAGTAAAAATGGCGGTCGCATTTAGTTATTTCAACACTAAAACAGTGGGACCTAAATGCCAATCTAGTAGCACGCTAAAATTCATGAAGTCAGGGAAACAGAAAAAAAAAACTCGTTAGAACAGTTGCCATGAAAATATTTGTGGAAAAGACAGAGGGAAGCCATGCCACGTCAGTGAGAAAGTGACTGAAGTCGTTATTCCTGGTCAGGATTGATTACATTACAGATCAATGTTTGAATTTTGTCAGGAATCTCAAGGTGTACAGCAAAAGCATCAGACAAGATATGGCAACAGTATTCAATGCACAGACAAATGAATGATTTGTAAATGTGAAAGATGGACTCTGACGAGAATTTTTTTTCTGGCACTACAAAGTAACTCAACTTTCCTTGCAGTAGATGTAGCTATTGATTCGATGTAGTCGCTTATAGTCAGTGGAATACGGGAGACCATGAAAGATTAATGCGTTGCTTTTATGGAGTCTATCATCAAACATGCTGATGGCAAAGAAAAAGTATATATATATATATATATATATATATATATATATATATATATATATATATATATATATATATTGAACAATAAAAAATATTAAAAATTAATATCTTCAGACGCACTGGGTTGTATATTAATATTCTTTCGTTTTTATTATTATTTCATTTAGAGTCCTCGACTAGTTTCGAGCCAACATGACCATCATCAGGAGAAATAAAATTCTGCTTGCTGGTAGCAGTGAACTACAGAAATGAATGTCTTGATGGAGAAAATGAACTTTTGTCTGTAGTTTTCTTTAGTTTTTTTAAATTTTTTTAACATGAATTTTGGTCAGACCTTGTGTCGGTCAGTCTCTTTTAAATTGTTATTTAAGATAAGAGCTGGATAGATTCATGCTGCTCAGAATTCCCTTGGTCATTTTGACCGTTTTATTGGTTCCTGGAAAGGGGGTATGTCTGTTAAGCGTGTGTGTTATTTGGTTCTTAGGGAGTGAGTGAGTATGATGTATGTAAGTGTTTATATAAGTCTGAGGTCTCAACACCTCCGTAATCATGCCTGTCTTGTGTGGGTGAGAAATGTGGGTAAATCCTGATTTGTGGGGTTATATATTAATACTATCTATATTGTTAAATTTGTGATTAAGCCCGTCCGGGTAGTGCATTTTTAAACGTTGTATCCACTTATTTTTCATGGAACTCTAAAATCTTTCTAATGTTATCTGCTCTGAACTATATATATATATATATATATATATATATATATATATATATATATATACAATTCTTTCTATTTTGTTGTTACTGCTCGGTATATATATATATACCGGGTGTAACAGCAAAATTGTCCAAATCGTGTAACAGCATAGGATACTTGTCCATCCCACAAAATGTTTAATAACTAAGAAAACACTAAACTTCTTCTCGTTCCTTTTTTTCCAGGTTTGAAGATAAGGCGCTTAGCCATCTTGACAACTTTTGTCGTAAGAATCACTGAAAAACCCTTTCAGCTAGAAAGAAGACAGGTTAAAATCGGATTGTGCCCGCCCAAACTAGGTCTTCTCAACTGAGCAATGGTGAGAGGAAAAACGATTCAGGCCTTCAATTATGATACGAAATATTTATACTCTGGCTTCCATATTCAATGTTCATTCAAGAACCATCAGGAGAACGGTGAATAAGTTTAAAAAAATGAAGCAGTAGAGAGGAAAACGGTTTCAGGAGGTCACAACAACAAGAGGGATCAACATTTCAAGTTAGAACTAAATACATTTTGATTGTTTAAAATAGAGCCAATAGTGTTATAAAAAAGAATTCCAGTAAGATATCTTTAATCATTTCTAAGATAAAACGGTTCAAAGTATAATCAAACAAATAGACAATTTTGCTGTTACACTCGTATATATATATATATATATATATATATATATATATATATATATGTATAAAATTTGAACATAGTCAAAACTTAGAGGCGACAGTTTGTTTCATGCATGTGTGTGTATTTAGGTAGTAAATTCTCTTTTAGGCACGTCTGATTAAATACATTACAAACATTATGTCTGCTTATTTTTAGCATAATCCGTTCTTATCCATGGATATTTTTCTGTGTGTTAAAATCAAATGATGCAAGAAATGCACTGCAACAGTGAAAATCACTTTTATTTCCCAAGTAATTTCTGTCTCTTTAATAAAACCAGACATAACGTTTGTAATTTATTTAACCAGACATTATATATATATATATATATATGTTAAAGATAGCCTAGCGGTAGGATCTCTGACTGATGTCAACTTGGTTGGGTTACAATCCCAGCTTGAAGCTTGGATGTCAAGCCACACTGAAGAGCTGTGAAACAGTCTCTCTCTGGATGACAATATATATAAATGCTGTTCCAGCACTCGTGGCCTGACAATTGCATATAGCATGAAACAGACAGTCGCCTCTAAGTGTTGACTTCTATGTTCACCTTTATATTTACACACTCTATCTCTGATATTCAGCACATTTATGACCATATATATATATATATATATATATATATATATATATATATATATATATATGGCAGAGACAGATCGGTGCACACATAAGAATGGAGAATGAACCTGGAAGTTGATGTCTAGAAATTTGATTGATCACGATGTGGTGTATATCTGGCAGACTATAGATAGATATGAAGGTGGGATCCTTTTGAAGAACAGTCAAATTCTTCATCTTGTTTTTTTGTCATAGATTTTTCCTAACGTTTGCTGTCATCGCCTTGTTTTTTTATGTCCCTGTCCCCACCACCTCTCCTACAGTAATCTGCTCGATCAACATTCAGCAGTACACTCCCAAAGATATCAGTCCCCACCCCTCAACCACCTCATCCTACGAAATAGATAGAAATCGCACACGTTTTCAACCCCTTATGTTCCTACCTAAGTTCTAATAAAAAAAAGAAAGAAGTAAGAAAATATGAGGAAATATGAAAATAACATTTTTCATCAATAACACGAATGCACCTACCGTAGAGGGATGATGGTGGTTGAGAAATTCTAATACATATTCAACATAACACAGAAGTTCAAACCTTGTTGGAAGTTTTCGGCTGTTCTGCGCCACGGCCTTCTTCAGGCATCTCTCAATCCGGGTAACTTTCAAGAAAATATGGAATTGAACTCTTTATATAATTTACTTTTTTAAAGTACTGCTCAGTTATCGATTATACGATTATCGATTATCTTAGTCTAAGATCGTACTACCAGAACCAAGGATTGAACTTACAATTATTTTGCCACCAAATTCACGAACCAACATTAGGTGACTGTCCTACTCGAAAATTATTCAAATTAAAACCAGTCAAAAATGAATAATAATTGACAATGCTTCATCTAAGAAGGCTAACCAGCAGGAGTCATTCAAATTTAGCCATATAGCTATATTCTCTACTTCTACTTCTTATGGATGGCAGTTGCAATATAAAGCAAGAGAAATGAAGATGAAAAAATACTAGTGAAAAATGAATAATAATTGACAATGCTTGGGCTAACCAGCAGGAGTCATTCAAATTTAGCCATATAGCTATATTCTCTACTTCTACTTCTTATGGATGGCAGTTGCAATATAAAGCAAGAGCAATGAAGATGAAAAAATTCTAGTCAAAGTTAATATATGTTTTATGCTGGACGCAATCGTCAGCCGGCCTGACGATTGCGTTTTAATGTTCTCGCCCTCTAGTGTTGATTTTAATGTATATATATATATATATATATATATATATATATATATAAATATTTACATTAGTCGGACCATTGTCCTCATCTTTGTCGCCATATTTGTCACAACGTTTCGGCCGTTGTACGCTCCGGCCTTCTTCAGGTGGTAGGAATTTCGAACTGAACCCTTTATTTCGATCACTGGGGTAGACTGTTCCAGTTCACGTGCCATGTTTGATGGAGGTTATGTTATCTCCTGCTAATTTTCCCTCTGAAATCCATTCTCCATGCCTTGGAACCAAATTGAACTCCCCTTCTTTGGGTCTGAAACGTTGGAGAAAATGACAGAGGAAAATAATGGGAGATAACTGATAACAAAGACATCCATCAAACATGGCTGTGCATAATTAATGGAACTATATATATATATATATATATATATCTGAATTGAAACAGTCGGATCGAAATAAAGGGTTCAGTTCTCGAAATTCGGCCCTTCAAAAAGTGTGGTTGGTTCTGTACAAACCCTTCCGAACTATAAACAAATCGACAAATATGGGGTGTCAAAGATGAGTTCCTAGGGACTAAGCTGTTTGACCCTCATACGTAATACCTCATCTAACAAATATAGATATATATATATATATATATATATATATAAAAAAAAGAATTGCAAACATTTTGGAAGTAATGTGGATTTTTGAGACTTTGTTTTACATAATTTCACGACACGTGTTTCTAGTCTGTATTAGGCCCTTCAAAAAGTGTGGATTTGGTTATTATTAAAAACAAAATTTTTTCACTATAATCAAATCGTATGTGCAGGTGTTCTGGCTGTCGGTTCCTAGGGACTGAGCTGCTTGACCCTCATACGTCGAATACAACAGGAGAGTCCATATATATATATATATATATATATATATAAACGTATGCACCATGTACGTATCTAATATATACTTTTGACCATAAGCGTATAAAGGCTTACAAACTAAATAGAAGAAAGATTATGAGAGACGCCCCCGACATTCCTGGGGTGGGGTAGTTGCGTGTACAGAGCGTAGAATTAATAAATAAAAAAAAAACGCGAAAATCCTTTAATTACACACAGAGACACGCGCATTATACGTAAAGGATTTGTTTTTGCCATTAGCTTTATTTAATGGGATAAACTCGGCCGAATAATAGGATTTTCCCCTCCCACTGATTGCTATTTAGAGAGAGCTAATGTCACACGTCCCATCAATCAATTTCCTTCAATAAATACCACAATTTACACTAACGGGCCAGCTTATCACCACATTCGACCTTGATATCGGTGTGAGAGTTCGATATCCGATCCAGCTGGTAGTCGCTGGTTAGTTGTGGTCGTGATTTCACGACGAGCAGTTGACGACGTTTCGGCCGTTGTGCTCTCCAGGCTTCATCAGGTGCTTCTTGATTCGGGGTGGGTAACTTTCAGGCAACCTCGCACTGAACACTTTATTTAAACGATGTGGTTAGATTGTTTGCGTTTCGTTGCCCGGCCCAAAGATTAAATTCGCAGGTACTGATCGACAAACACCTGATGAAAACCGGAGGGTATAACAATCGAAATATTGTGATCACAACAGCAAAAATGAGGACAATAGTCCGCAATTAGTCTTTAATAACAATATTTCGTTATTCTAATGCACCTAAAATTTAAAAAAAAAAAATCAAATTTTATAAAAGTTAATAGGAGTGGGGTGAAGTTAATTTCAAAATGATTTTTATTTTTTACATTTTAAGAAATATCTTTCGTCTGAATTTCTGGGATGAGAAGTCATAATTATTTACACTGTGTACATTCGGGATGTTGTTCTCATCTTTGCTGTTATATCAACGTTTTGGAAGTTATGTCTTTCATCAGGTATATGTCAATCCAGGTAATCTATAGGAAATTCCGTACTGAGCCCTTTATTTAATGTGGAGTAGACTGTTCTGCGCATGTCTAAGGATATCACGTCTACTTGTTATTTCTAGTATTGCTCGCCCTGTTTCCACTGTGTCCAAATACTCACTGCCCGACCTAGGAATTGAACTCTCAAAATTACTACATCATAAATTCCCGAATCTACGTTTTAATCCACTATTGTCTGATAGGACAATTCTCTGTTGAGAATTTGAAGCCTTAAACCTAACTTGCCTGCTGATCAGTGTGCATCAGACTGTTAACCGAAAATGATATAGATGTGTGTAGTTATTTTACATTATTTGCATGTGGACTATTGACCCTATCTTTGTTGTTAAAACAACGTTTCAGTTGTTGTGCACACTTCTTCAGATAACACTGATTCTAAATAACTTTGTATTTCGAACTGAACACTTTATTCAATCTACTTGGTGGCTTGTTCTCGTTCCACTGCCCATGTATATGGATATCTCGTCTAGTTCTTATTTAGTACTGCCCAGTTATTGCTCGCTTTGATTCCAAGTGTACACTGCCCGGCTCGACTGTTTAATGCTTTGATTTGTGGCTTCACTGGACTTACACTGGAGCCTCTGTTCTCTAAGTATTTCTTATCTTGAACGAATCTTTCGAGAAGAATTCGCCTCTGATTTCGAACAGAGATTTGCTTATCGAACGCAAACGATGTCAGCCGAACGAACTTGAATGAAAATGTGAAAGCCACGAACACGCAGATGGTTCAAGTTACTCGTCGGCTTCCGTTGATGATGCGCACGTTCGTTCCATTAATGTTCGTTTCTGTTGTAATTTTATATATTGCTTCATTTTTATATGCACCCCCAAAGCCCCCGATGGAAGTTAGTGATAGTAGAAAGCCTAAGTGAAAAGCTGTAAGCACCGCAATTAAATTAAAAAAAGCCTGAATGTGGAATGCTTTGATCTATCGGTGAACCTTTTGGATGCCGAAATCAATCATATGAACGATACTAAGGAACAAAGATGTGATCAAAGCCGCAGATTAAATCTTATGGGAAAAATGTTTCGGATTTTCGAACAAACCGGATTTCGAATGACTTCTTAGAAATAATTAATTTCGTGATGTGAGGTTCCACTGCATCCTTATTATTGACAGAATGGTAAACTTTAACACCAACTTTAATCTTTCTTATTTTATATAACAGCTTTTCGTTTGTGCTCACAACAACTGATCAAACTCTTCTTGTTTGCATAATTCTCAGTGTAACACAGTTCATACCCATGCTTGCTTTTATATCACCTTTGATTTAACTTTCTTCTCTCTTTTATGCTTGGTCTATAGTTTCGTTGTTTTCTTCATAAAAAGAGTGTTTATTGTTTTTTCTGAGTTTTATCTATTTTTTTTCTTTGACATAATTATATGTTTCTATTCTTTTGAAATGCATCGGGAAGACCCCACTTTCTACATGATAATAAAGCTACATCTTTCTTTTCCCAACTCTCTATATATGACTGGTTTATATCTTTCTTTTTCCCACTCGCTATATATGACTTCTGGCAAACACACAAGACACAAAGTTCACGTAGTAATAAGATAAGTTTTACTATTTTAATATTACAGTGGAACCTCGGTTATCGCACGCTCCTTATCTCGAGCAAGTCGGTTCTGGAAGTAATTGTTCGAGAAAAATACGCCTCAGTTTTCGAACAGAAATTCGGTACTGGATCAAAAATGACGTCAGCTGAGTGAACACGGATCAAACCGCGGAAGCCCCGAACACGCAGATGCGTCGACTTCTGTTAATAATGCGTACGTTCGTTCCATTAATGTTCGTTTCTGTTGTAATTTTATATATTGCTTCATTATTATATGCACCCCCAAAGCCCCCGATGGAAGTTAGTGATAGTAGAAAGCCTAAGTGAAAAGCTGTGAGAACCATAATTAAATTAAAAAAAAAAGAAAAGAAAATAATAGCGAAACATGAAAGTGGAATGCGTGTCTTTGATCTAGCGGTGAATTTTTCGATGCCGAAAT